GTGGTCCCAGCTACTTGGGAGGCTGAGGCAGGAGACTCGCTTGAGCCCAGGAGTTGGAGGTTGCTGTGAGCTGTGATGCCATAGCACTTTAGCCAGGAGAAAAGCTTGAGGCTCTGTCTCAAAAATAAAAAAATAAAATAAGTTAGAGAGAATTTTAGTCAAAGGAAATACTTAATACCAGTGTTGTACAGGCATATTTTGGAGATATTGCTAATTCAGTTCCTGACCACTACAATAAAGCAAATGTCACATAAAGAGAATCACACAATTTTTTTGGTTTCCCAGCGCATATAAAAGTTATATTTACAGTATACTGCAGTCTATTAAGTATGTAATAGCATTGTAACAATGTATATACCTCAATTTAAAATAGTTTATTGCTAAAAACTACAGCCAGGCAAAGTGACTCATACCTATAATCCCAGCTATTTAAGAGGCTGAGGTGGGTAGATTACTTTGTTTGAGGCTAGGAGTTGCAGTGAGCTATGATCATGCCACTGCAGCCTGGGTGATGGAGCTAGACTCTGTCTCTTAAAAACCAAAAAACCTTCTAATGGTCACCTGAGCCTTCAACAAATCATAAGCTTTTTCACAGTGGAGGATCTTGCCTCCGTGTTGATGGCTGCTGACTGATCAAGGTAGTGGTTGCTGAAAGCCAGAATATCTGTGGCAATTTCTTAAAATAAACAATGAAGTTTACCACATAGTTTGACTCTTTCTTCCATGAAAGATTGTTCTGTAGCATGTGATGCTGTTTGATAGCATTTTACCCAAAGTAGCAATTCTTTCAAAATTGGAGACATTCCTCTCATATCATGCCACGGCTTTATCAACTAAGTTTATGGAATATTCTAAATCCTTTGTTTTCAACAGTATTCATAGCATCTTCACCAGGAGCAGATTCCATCTCAAGAAACCACTTTCTTTGCATATCCGTAAGAAGCAACTCCTTATCTATTTAAGTTTGATCATGAGATTGCAGCAATTCTGTCATATCTTTGGGTTCTACTTCTAATTCTAGTTCTTTGGCTGTTTCCACCACATCTGCAGTTACTTCCTCTGCTGAAATCCTGAACCCCTGAAAGTCATGTCATGAGGGTTGCAATCAACTTCTTTCAAACCTATGAATCTTGATACTTTGACCTTCTCCCATGAATCACAAACGTGCCTTTCCAGAAGGTTTTCAATTTATTTTACACAGATCCATCAGGGGAATTACAATCTATGGCAGCTATGGTCTTATGAAATGTATTTCTTAAGTAATAAGACTTGAAAGTCTAAATTACTCCTTGATCTATGGGCGGGCTGCAAAATGGATGTTGTGTTAGCAAGTATGAAAAGAATATTCATCTCCTCATATATCTCCGCCACAGTTCTTGGGTGACCAGGTGTATTGTTGAAGAGTATATATATATATATATATACACACATATATATATACAAATCTTTTTTCCTGGGCAGCAGTTCTTAACAATGGACTTAAAATATTTAGTATACCATAAGGTGAATAGACACTGTCATCCAGACTTTGTTGTTCCATTGATAGAGCACAGGCAGAGTACATTTAGCATAATTCTTAATGGTCCTAGGACTTTGAGAATGGAAAGTGATCATTGGCTTCAACTTAAAGTCACTAGATGCATTAGCCTCTAACAAGGGAATCAACCAGTCCTTTGAAGCTTTGAAGCCAGGCATTGTCTTCTCTCTAACTATGAAGTCCTATATTGCATCTTCTTCCTATAGAAGGCTGTTTGTCTACATTAAAAATCTGTTGTTTAGTGTAGCCACCTTCATCAAATTCCTTACCTAGATATTCTGGATAATTTGTTGTAGTTCCTATATCAACACTTGCTGATTCATTTGCACTTTAGATGGCTTTTTTCCTTAAACCTCATGAACCAACCTCTGCTAGTTTCCAACTTTTCTTTTGTAGTTTTCCTTGACTCTCTTAACCTTTGTAGAACTGATAAGAGTTAGGACCTTGCTCTGGATTAGGCTTTGGCTTAAGACTATGTCTTAGTTGGTTTGATTGTCTATCTGGACCACTGAAACTCTCTCCATGTAAGCAGTAAGGCTGTTTTGCTTTCTTATTTGTGTGTTCACTGGAATAACACTTTTGATTTCCTTCAAGAAATTTTCCTTTGCATTTACAACTTGACTATTGGAGGCAAGAGGCCTAGCTTTCAGACTATCTAGACATACCCTCCTCATTAAGCTTAATCATTTCTAGCTATTGATTTAAAGTGAGAGACGTAGGCTGGGCACAGTGGCTCATGCCAATAATCCCAGCACTCTGGGAGGCCGAGGCAGGTGGATTGCTTGAGCTCACCAGTTGGAGAACAGCCTGAGCTAGAGCAAGATCCTGTCTCTAAAAATAGCCAGGCATTGTGGTGGGTGCCTGTAGTTCCAGCTACATGGGGAGGCTGAGGCAAGAGGATCACTTGAGCCCAAGAGTTGGAGGTGGGGGTTGCTGTGAGCTAAAGACACCACGGCACTCTAGCAAGGGTGAGCAAGTGAGACTCTGTCTCAAAAAATAATAATAAAGTGAGAAACATGGAACTCTTCCTTTCATAATTGTAGAGATATTAATTGGCCAAATAATTGTGATATTGTTATTTCTCAGGAAATAGGGAGACCTGAGGAGAGGAGTAGCTGGTCCGTGAGCAGTCAGAACACACACAATACTTATCAATTAATTCACCATCTTATATGGGTATAGTTCATGGTACCACAGTCCTGTTATAATACTAACGTCAAAGATCACTGATCACCATAAAAGGTATAATAATAACGAAAACGTTTACAGTATTATGAGAATTACCAAAATGTGACACAGACATGAGGTGAGCACATGCTGTTAGAAAAATAGCAACGACAGACTTGTTCAATAGAGTTGCCACAAACCTTTGATTTGTAAAAGCTCACTATCTATAAAGCACAATAAAACAAAGTACAAGGGCCAGGCGCAGTGACTCATGCCTGTAATCCTAGCACCCTGGGAGGCCAAGACTGGTAGATTGCTTGAGCTCAAGAGTTTGAGACCAATCTGAGTAAGAGTGAGGCCCCTGTCTCTAAAAATAGACTGGGCATTGTGGCAGGTGCCTGTAGTCCCAGCCGCCTGGGAGGCTGAGGCAAGAGGATCATTTGAGCCCAAGAGTTTGAGGTTCCTGTGAGGTATAACGATGCAGCACTCTATCAAGGGTGGCAAATGAGACTGTCTCCAAAAAAAAAAAAAAAGTGCAATAAAATGAAGTATGGGTGTAGTAATTACTCTAGTAGGAAAATACACTACCGATTCTTAAAAAGTGTCATAATGTTTTTCATATTGTCTGGAGCCTTTCAATTTTGTCATAGGACATGTGTTCTCAATGTCTAATATTTATTTACACAACAGGCCAAATTGACTTTGAGGAACTTGACAATCTAAGTTGACACTAACATCCTTAGGTTTTTATTTTTCTTTTATAATTATTTTTTATTAAATCATAACTTGGTACATTGATGCATTTATGGGGTTCAGGGTACTGCTTCGATATATAATGTGAAATGCTTACCTTGAACTAAGTAACACATCCATCACAATTATACTCATTTCTTAATAGTTTTGAAATGTACCATTGCATCATGCCCATTAGGTGAGGTCCCCCCGAACACCCTCCCTCCTCCCATATCCCCTCTCCCCACCCCTCTCTCTCCTCTTCCCTTCTACTTTATAGACTATAGTTATGTTTTGCCATTCATATGATTGTGTAAGTGGTTATATATTGATTTCATAGTAGTATCAAGTACACTGGATACTTTTTCTTCCTTTCTTGGGATACTTTACTAAGAAGAATATGTTCCAGCTCCATCCAGGTAAACATAAAGGATGTGAAGTCTCCTTAGGTTTTTAAATGTATGTTTTAGTCTTCTTTGCCTCTTTAAACCCTCTGATTATGCTTAGATTTTTATAGACTTAATTTTTTTGTCACCTGGGATTCAGCTGTGGCTCACCATCATTTGGCAGGGGGTGAGTCTTGATTTATGAATCTAGTATGTGAAGAAGGCTATTTTCAAGCAAGGACTTAACTCCTTAAAGTGGAATAGAGGCTCCTAATTTAGGCCTACCTTTTTATGTTTGTGTTGCTCATGGGACTCATTAAAGGAAGTTTCTGCTTTGGTACTATTTTTCCTGCTTCACAGAATTCAAAACATAGGGTGGAGATTTTTCAATTTTGATTTACTTTTTTAAATATTGGTCAATTTTTCAAAGATAAAAGCCCAGCAGTCTTCTCTTTGCACAGAATCTAATCCATAAGAAACAGATGTATCCCAGGATTTCCTTCCTCCCTTCTTAACAGAGAAAGGAAGGTACTGCTTCTGTCAGATCCAATCTTTTAGTTTATTTTTCCTCCTTTGAACCAATTGTGCCGAGCTGCTTCATGTCTCTGAGTATTGACTCCAAGAATATCAAACTTCTCCTTTGTAACCCTAATATTGCAATTTAAAGCAATATTTTCTAGATGCTTGGTATAAAAGGTTTCTAATGGCCTTGGAATCACCTGAATAAGCAGCATCAAAGAAATACAGTACACAAGCTTTATGAAATTCTAGAATGTTTAGACTGAAGAGGATCCCAGGAAGTCTGTGTTCTAGGCTGGCCTTCACATAGAAACCTGATTTCTTAAAGCTTTCCTTGGGAAACCTTAGCTCAAATTCCTGGAATTGCCAAATGCCCTCAAAGGCAAATTGGTTTCAACTGTCCATTTACCTTTATGGGTTTTAATTTTCACTTAGATTTTGGCCTAACACTTCCTTACAATCCTTCTAGCTTTTTGATGTCATATTATCAAAAGCAGAACACCATTGATTCTTGGGGGGCCGGGAGGAGAAGTGGTTTTTTATTGTAAGCAATTCAAACACAGAAAGATTATACAAAACATGATAAACATGTATATCCCCACCAGTATCAAATAAATGCTAATTTTTTGCCCAATTAGATTCTAATATCTCTCTTTCAACCGGATAGTCATTTCCAGTAATACAACAATGTCACGCTATACCTCCTCGTACATGTCTCCTTGGGCACCCATGCAAGTTGGATAGCTAGAAGAAGGGCTGAATTTGTTTTGGTTTTGTTTTGTTTTCTTTTAGGAAGGACTGTATTTGCAATATTTAAATTTTTTTTTTAATTCACACAATGGAATACTCTACAGAAATAAAAATAAATACGCTGAATCAACTATCAACATAGATAAACCTCAAAAACATGAGTGGATGAAACAAATTAGAAAAACAGTAGTGTAATACCATTCTATAAAACATTGTAAATTGGCTCAGTGCCCGTAGCACAGTGATTAAGGCGCCAGCCACATGCACTGAAGCTGGCGGGTTCAAACCTGGCATGGGCCAGCTAAACAACAGTGACAATTGCAACAAGAAAATAGCCAAGCATGTAGCGGGTGCCTGTAGTCCCAGCTACTTGGGAGGCTGAAGCAAGAGAATTGCTTGAGCCCAAGAGTTTGAGGTTGCTGTGAGCTGTGACGCTATGGCACTCTACCAAGGGCAACATAGTGAAACTCTGACTCACCAAAAAAAAAAAAAAAAGAATGTCAGTGTCCTAGATGAATAATATCAAATATGGCTATTCTCTTACTGCTAACACTGAGGTCTATATAAGAATGTTAGCATATAAGGTTTCATATATCATGTTCTGAGTTGTAATGGTAGTGTACACTGAAGCATTTTATGACCTTTTATTTTCAGGTGTAAACGTCCTACTTTGGGGCAACTTGCCAGAAATAGAAGAGAGTACAGATGAAGATATGTTAGATATCTCAGCAGAGGAGTGTATTAGATGAATGGAATTATGATGTAATATTCAAATGTTTCTATTTAAAAATATGTTAATGGATCAACTTTAAAATTGTTAATAATGGTTTGCCAGTGATTTCTCTTTTTTTGGAAAACCAAACTGGGTCCTTTGTTGATTTATTTATTTGCTGTCTCCAATTAATTACCTCGGTTTAATTTAAAACAATGGAATTATTCTTTTCTTCCACTTCTCCCTGTCCCCTACCCTTTTTGCCAAGTATAGGTGTATTCTTAAATTCAGCTAGGAAAAGATTCTTTTACATGTCACTCAGCTACCTCCCAATTTGAGGGAGTTTTTCTTACAACTTGATGCCAGATACCATTAATTTTACATTATTGAGTAAAGGGCATCAGTACCCACACATATGTCAACCACGCATATATCAAGAGTGTACCAACTAAGTATTACCAAGGGATTTTTTAAAATGGGCTTCTCAGTTTCCATGGGTATGGTTCTGGTATGTTATATTGGTGATAACCGCTTCAATATGAAGCAAGACTGTGGATCAGCAAATAGAATAAATTAAAACCTTAAAATAAATGGAGGAATCCTCTTGATTCCTCAGCATGATCTCAGATAAATGGGTTTGTCAGAAAATTATCAGTCTATACTATCAATGCTATTTATTTACATTCTTCTAAAGCCATCATGATATTGTATTTTGAAAGCCAGATAAACTCAAACTCTATAAGTTATCCTCTTCTCTAGATATTTCCCTGTAAATAGCAAATTTTAGATAAGTAGTCTCAGTCCCATCCCTTAAATAGAAAAAAACTAAAATGGTTTACTTAAACCATGGTACATTATGAAGAGTTGTTTTGTCTTGTTTTGTTTTGTTTTAAGCTGCATTCAGAGCCAGAAATGATGAGTACAGATGAAGATATGTTAGATGTCTTGGCAGAGGAGTGTATTAGATGAATGGAATTATGATATAATATTCAAATCATAATTTGAAGAAGAAACTGGGATGATACTGGATTCTGGTTTTATATAAAGCTAAATAAATGTATCTCTTTTAATACCTCAGTAGGCATTTTGTCAATAGTGATACCAAAGCAGACTGAGTTGAAGTCTTGTAAATAAAATTTGTTCTAAAAATGACCATCCTTCCTTTAATTTTTTATTATACTTACTTGCTTTACCTAAAAATATAAAGTAATAGTATATAAAGTAGAGTATTTTCAGGCTAATGTTTATTGAGTATTTACCATGTGCCAGACACTATTCTAAGTGCTTTATGCATTTAACTCACTCCACACAACAGGCCCAGAGGTACCATTAGTATTCCTTTTTTTATTGATTAGACTGGTGAGACATAAAGATTTGAAGTAATTTGTCTGAAGTCACATAACTGATCAGAGGTGCGACCAGATTCAAACTCAGCAGACAGACTGACTCCAGAGCTCCCACTCCTAATCTTTGTGCTATGCCCTTGACCACCTCCAGACATTAATTATTTATGATCTTACTTAGCCTGGATATATGCTGGGTAACTAACTACGTTGTTTTGTACCCTGGCTAAGGACAGAAATGACTGATTTGAAGGTCGAACAAACTCAAACTGGTTTTTAGGGTAAAAGTCACCTGAGGGCATTGAAAGAATCAGCTAACTAAAAGGTGCTTCAGGAAAAGCTGTTGCTCCTGCCTGGAAAACTTATAAAAGTCTATGACTCTTACCATCAGAAGGCCATCAAAAGAACCAGAGGAATGAGTGAGGAAAAATTTGTCCTCAGATTTTATTTTAACCTCTCTTAAATTCTTTCTGGAATAAGGCATAATGGATAAGAGAAAAAAAAAAAAAATATATATATATATGTATACACACACACACACATATACTTCTGCAGTTAATTTAATGCTAGAGTCAGGAACATGGCATTAGTCTGGTTTCTGTTGAGTTTTGTCTTCAAAGGGTCTGGTTGACTGAGAGACCCTTTGAAGAACAAAAGCAAGACAGAGGTGTGATGATTGAAGCAAACCCCCCAAATGTGATTCCACTCCAGCTGGAGAATATTTCAAGTTATTCAGCTTACTTTAGCTAACTGGGTTAAGGGAAAGCAAATCTTAAGTGGAAAAGGAATTAATAAAGTTTTATCTGGAGAAATATATTCATGGTACTGTTTTTGTTTGTTTTAATTTGGTTTGGAGTTTTTTTGAGACAGGGTCTCTTTCTGTCACCCCAGATGGAATACAGTAGCATCATCATAGCTCACTACAACCTCAAACTCTTGGTCTCAAGTGATCCTCCTGCTCAGCCTCTGAGTTGGGATTGCTGATGGTGGTGCATGCCTGACTCATTTTTCCATTTTGTGTGGAGTTGGAGTCTCACTTTTACTCAGGCTAGTCTTGAACTCCTGACCTCAAACTATCTTCTTTTCTCAGCCCCAAAGTGCTGGGATTACAGGCATGAGCCACCATGCTCAGCTCATGATACTACTTTTTAATAAAAGCAAGTGATATACACTCTGGTAGTGTAGATATATACTTTGCTCTGGTAGACCAAAGCAAAATCACATATGTGGATTTAGTATACATTTTCTAGGCCTAGCAATTCCTTGGCCTAGAAAATCTGTCTACACTTTGGTCCTCTTAAAATTTGACTTGATTCTATAAACCTGTATTATTCCCCTATAGTATGGCAAGATTTGCACCATGACATGTTCACACTTCAAGGAACACACAGTGAGTTGGAGATAGGATAAAATTCTATCAGTCTACCTAATTAATTTGGGTCAAGTGACATTAACAAAGACATGCTTAAAGTGCTAAGACTCCATAGACCAGTGATTTTCAACCTGTGGGTCGCGACCCCTTTGGGGGTCGAACGACCCTTTCACAGGGGTCACCTAAATACATCCTGCATATCATATATTTACATTACAATTCATAACAATAGCAAAATTACATTTATGAAGTAGCAACAAAAATAATTTTATGGTTGGGGGTCACCACAACATGAGGAACTGTATTAAAGGGTCACAGCATTAGGAAGGTTGAAAACCACTGCCATAGACGAAAGAGTAATTATTCTGAGTAGTAAGAGAGCGTGGCAGTTGAAAAAGCTACTGAAAAGAAATGATACTTTCTCAGGCTTTGATGGACAAGCCTTTGCCAACTTGGATGAGTGTTTTGGACAGAGAGAATAGTATAAAAGTATCTTGCTTGTTTGGTAATTGTTAAGTGGTCCCTCATATCTTCCAAGACATGAAATAAGAATTAATTAGTCCAGGCCCTATGGCTCACACCTGTAATCCTAGCACTCTGGGAGGCAGGTGGATTGCCTGAGTTCTTGAGTTCGAGGCACCCCTGAGCAAGAGTTAGACTCCATCTCTGATAAAAATAGAAAAACTAGCCAGTTGTTATGGCCAGTATTCCCAGCTACTTGAGATCATCCCAGCTTCTTGGGATTTTTTGAGCCCAAAAGTTTGAGGCTGCTATGAGCTATGATGCCCATGACATCATGACTGTGTCTAAATAAATAAATATAATTAGTGTTAAAAAATTGAATTGGAAGGTGAAGATAACAAGGAAGTTTAAGATCTTGTTAGAAAGGTTAGGAAGACTATTCTATGCCATTATAAATTTAGACTTGATCCCATGGTGATGTGGAGTTATTGAAGCTTTTAAGCAGGAGAATAAAATAATCAGATTTACAGCAACAGCTCTGATGATAAAGTGTAGTCACCTTTAGTTTTCCAAAGTTATCACGTTCTTTCTTTGATGCACTTGATAACTTGACCATGGAAATTACATTCCTTACCCTAAGAACCCATGTAGTTCCTTAGGTTCTCTGAATTTCTTGTCTTTCATGAAATCCCTGGTCTGCAGTGGGGCATTTTTTTTTTCCTTTTCCATCATGACATTCCTGAAGTTCAAGAAAAGGGCAGTGAGTCATCAGCTCACCCACCATAGCTTTTTCTGCCGCTTTATCTTTTTCCTCCACCCAGTTTCTCGACCTCAAACTCTGATGAGGCATCTTGGGTGGGGCTTGATCTGAAAGCCACAATATTTTGAATAATTGATGTCTCTGAAAACCGGGTTTTTAAATATTAGTAATCGAGGGAGATTTCCCTATAGGAACTGCTCTTTTGACCTCTGAGTCGCATGTGGCTGATTAAGAAGAATCTACGCTGCTTTCCTTGGGTGAGGAGGAAGTGACTGTGCCGTATCAACCATAATCTAGAAAACGAATCAGAACACAAATAGGGAGTGAGGGAAGGTAGGTGACCATATGGAGCAAATAGTCTTGCTTCAGTGGTGAATTACTCGATGAAGGCTTTCCCTTTTTGAACATTCATGTTTATAAAAAGAAAGTTTCCTTTTCTGCCTTTTTTTTTTTTTTTTAAACTTTAAAAGCAGCCTAAACCATAGTTTCTTTCTTGCCTGGTATTGAGCGCATGCCAAATCTACCCTAAACTGCACAGATGGAAAAAATTAGTCTATGTCTGTGCTACCTCTGGGGTTGAATATTTTTAGTACTTAAATCTTTAGCTAAAGATTCTTTCTTGCCCTACTCTCAAAGAATCACTTTATTGTCATCCAATGGACAAGTTTACCAGGATCGAAATGAATAATGTCATTTTTATTTATCCTGTTATAGTTTATTGTGAATTTTCACCAACACTTTAATCCTCAGAATAATCTTGGGAGCTGTCATTCTCAACTTTACAAATGAAGAGAGAAAATCTTAGTCCCAATACCCAGAGAGTTAGAAGAATCTGAACCTTAATTTGGGTCTCCTCATCTTAGTTTAAGGTTTTCCCCAACCTCCCTAAGGGACCCTAAATCCCGTCTATTTTCTTTCACTTAGGATACATTTTCTCTGACATTCAACCTCAAAGCTTATGACTTTGTTAATCCATTCAATAAATATATATTGAATATCTACTATATGGACAAAATAGATGCTGGGAATAAAGGACTAAGTAAGACAAAATTCCTGTTACATGTGGAGCTGATATTCTAGTTGAGGGTAAGAAAGAAGGTTAACATTGATTGTTTACCATGTGCTGGGCATTTTTCTAAGTGTTTTATATGTAACCCTTAACAGATGGATCCTATGATTATCCTCACCATACAGATCAGGTAAGTGAAGCATGGAGAAGTTAGAGAATTTGTCCACAGTCACACGACTAATAAATGACACCACTCAAAGATTTGGTGGGGCCAGAATGAATTAGCTTAGTGGGTGTGCTTTCTTCTTATTTTTC